GCCCGGGGGCAGGCACGGGCGGGTTTCCCTGGGGGGAGGGGAGAATCCTGGGAGGAGGGAGATGCAGGGGACTCTCCGCCTCCACTGGCACCCCACTCCCCAGCCACAGAACGCTGTCCCCACGCCCCTGGCCCCAGCCACAGTACTCTGTCCCCATTCCTGTCCCCACTCCCTGAACTCTGTCCCCACTCCCCGAACTCTGTCCCCATTCCCCCGTCCCCACTCCCTGAACTGTGTCCCCACTGGCACCCTGTCCCCTACTGCAGAACCCTGTCCTCTGCCCTCCCAGCACCCTGCTCCCTCTCCCCTGCCCCCAGCTGCAGAACTCTGTCCCCACAAAATGTACAATTATAAATGCTTCATTTTCGATTTAAATAGCATGAATAAAAAACAGACCATTTATTTCATAGCTATAAACACCTGATTTTAATTTTATGTATCGCATAATTTAAAAATAAACTGTTTATCAGAGTGTGTAAGTAAGGGCTGGGGATAGCAAGTGATGGACAGGAGGAGAATAGAGAGGGCGGGGCTTCAAGGAAGGGGCGGGGAGGGAGATCTTCGCCTGTTCTGAGATTTAAAAAGTGATCTTGGGTGTAAAAAGGTTGGAGATCACTGTCATAGGGTAAATAGGTGCATCTCAAGGGCACGAGGCTGTTCTGTGGGAATGGTGGAAGTTGGCTTGAAGTTGATGGGGCTGTAACATTTTCAAGAAATTGGCAAAACCTTCCAACAAACTTCACTGTTTGATAGGAGAGTGCTGTGATCTAAAAGAGAGGCATGGTTTAGACATGCTCTACAGCAGAGGTGGGGAACCAAAAGCCTGGGGACCATAAGCGGCCCCCGACTTGCCTGGATCTTGCCCCCAGAGTCTCAGGGCTGCCCACCCAGCATTGGGGAGCCAGCGCTGGCACTCCATCCCCCTAACACTTCCTTGCGGGGCTAGAGCACACAAAATCTACTAGCCTTGGACCCCTTAGGTTCTGATGTGTGAGGAGAATGTGGGGAGTGTCTTTCTTCTTCTCAGTTGGGGGCCTTGTCAGTGAGGAATTTTTTTTTTTTTTTTGCTTCTCGCTTGTGTACAGCCCCTGACTGATTTTTCTGTGGGTCAGCAGTCCCCAACTCAATAAAGGTTCGCTGCCCCAACTCTATAGCTTACCCTCTGTGAGCGTGGCTGAGAGCAGGACATTCTGCCGTCTCTCGCTCTCTGTATTTAAAGCATTGAGAATCACGGTCACATCCTTCTCAAAGCCCATGTCCAGGATCCTGCAAATAAGACAGAGATCACAGAAGACACTATGAGAAAATACCGGGACAGAGAAAGAAGAGAAGGCTCAAGGCTACATGAGCCAATTAGGACTACAGGAGTAGCCAATCTAGTCCTGTATCCTCTCTCCAGCAGTGGCCAGCACCAGAAGTGTCAGAAGGTGCAAGATTCCTGTATTGGACAACTGCAGAATAACTTGCCCAGAGGGGAAACAGCATCCTAACCCTGGGCACTGAGTGGTTGCTTTATGCCCTGGAGCACGAGGGTTTAGATCTCTTATTTTTTAAATATTGAATACATTATCTAATGTAGCTGTAGAGGTTCTCGTTAGCCATGTCAAATGTCTAAGCACTTAAAAGTTTACCTGTCCGCCTCATCCATAATCAGCCACTGGATACGAGAGAAGTGAATGCACTTTGTGGACTTGATGTGATCGACCAGGCGGCCAGGAGTTGAAATGAGAATATTTATTCCTTTGCGTAATCTGTTTAAATTAAAGCAAATAAAGCGTTCAGAGTTTATCGCTAATCTGGAGCCCATAGAGTACAGGGGAGAAATCCCACCCCCACTAGAGTCAATGCCAGAATTCCCATTGACTTCAATGGGGTTGGGATTTCATTCTTGTTTTTTAAAGAGAAGCTGCTTTATGCAGCTAAAAAGCACCCAAGACAACTCATCCCTAGCTTGCAACAGATGCATGTGAGTTTTCAGCTTTACTCTGAAGAGGGTCCCATTCCTGGATAGAGCAGCACGTGAGTGAAGTTCGTCCCTTGGCGGCCGTCTCGGTCGGTTGTCGGCATCCCTTATCAGCAGTCTCCTTTGGTACCTCATGTGTTTCTTTTATGGCAAAGCACTCTTCTCTGAACACACCAAGATCAGCCACCCCAGGTCCGCTCTCCACTACTTCCTCCCTGTAACTTTGTTATGCCCGAAGGTTTAACTCGTTAACTGATTAACTATGAGTTTACATCCCTAGTTGAAATGAAAGAGAAAGAGCATCTAGCCTGCTTAGGCACTTTTGAAACCCCCAGTACTTATGAGCATCATTAAGGCCAAAAGTATAACTGGGTTCAAAAAAGAATTAGATACGTTCCTAGATGATCAGTCCATTCATGGCTATTAGCCCAGATGGCTAAGCCTCTGATTGCCAGTTGCAGGGACTGGATGATGGGATGGATCATTCAGTAATTGCCCTGTTCTAGTCATTCCTCCTGAAGCATCTGGCATTGGTCAGAAGACAGGATACTGGGCTGAATGGACCATGGATCTGACCCAGGGTGACCGTTCCTACGTAATACTTTGAACATCTGGCACCCTTCAGATTTTTAAAATTAGTAGACCTCTTGTCTTCCACCTGGTTTGTACTCATAGATTGGAGGAGAAAAATCAGCTTTCTTGCCTTTTCAACTTCCAATCAGCCTCTTCCCTTTCAAAGAACTAATCCAAATGAAGAAAATGTTCCCTCGGAATATGCTACTTAAACTGAAACCAAACATAAATAAGGCAAAAGGTTTTCTATACAACACAAACGGGAAATACTTTCATTTGAAAACAATGTAATACCAGCATTTGCTTCATCAGAAAGACAGACAATAATACATATACTTCACGTAGAATATGACTGTGACATTAATAACAATCTTGAGTTGATCGCAAAAATTAAATATATTTCCCACTTCATTCTACGTATACTTTTAAAAGTGGTGTTAGCTCACTCAGAGTTGAGTAAAGGTTAGTGATGCAGCATATTTTGAAATTTTATTTAAATAGTTTTAATAGCTTACAGCAAATTCAATCATAAAAGGTTCATTAAAATATTTAATTAAAAAGCCAGTTTTTATTTTTTAACCACACAGGATAAATATGTATTTATTAGAGCTGGTCAAAAAAAATTCCATTGTAAAATGCCTTTTCATCTAAATCAAAACTGTGTGAAAGTGCTGATTTTTGGGTTACCTTCATTTAGAAAACAAATTGACATGAAAAGTTTTAATAAAGGTGAAAAGCTTAATTTTGACCTTTTTATAACAGAATACTCTGATTTGCTATTTTGAAACAAAAAGTTGTTCTAAATGATAAATTACAACATAAAACCAAAAAGCAATGCCAAAAATCAAAACCAAACTTTGATCCAAAACAAAAACAAAAATTTTAAATTGTTTTGCAGAAAATTTAGAAAAATCTTGGTTTTTGTTCTGATTTGGAACTAATTTTTCAAAAACTGCAAAATTTCCCACAAAATGGAAATTTTGGTTCCTGCACAGCTCAAATATATATAATAGTCACTTATTCAAGAACACTGTTTAGGGTTATTTAAATTATAATTAATACTGCACGGGGAATATCCAGCTGTTCTCTCCCAGTTAAAAGGCATTTTCAGCAATAAAGACAGGTGAAAGGATACAAGTAAAACACAAAACATAATTTTAAGACATTGGCTTCTTACCTGGCTTTTTCAGACTTCCTCTTTTCTCCCCCCATTAGCACACCCGGCACAATCCAGGTAAACGGCTGGAGAAAAAAAACAAGACCTATATGAAGCCGTCTTAAGAAGCTGATTTTTCTTGACAAAAAGATAGGTAACTCAGGTTTATAGCTGTGCTTCTGATTTGATCTAATAGATATAGTTCATGTGCTCTCTACCACCTACAGGTAAATATCAGTTTAATTCTAGCTATGGAATTTGCTTCCGACTTTGAAAAAATTGACAATCGTTTTGGCACCACTTCCAATAATATAATAAGTCTCCCCCTTCTCCCTGTGTAGCCTAAATATTCAAATACAATTTGCAATTCTATTTCTTCCTGTTGCCTTTTAGGCAAAATATTCCTACAGTCAAGCAAAATATAAAGAAACATAATAAAGATCCTTTATACAGTTTTGTTATCAAGTTAATAAAGGCTCCCAAGGTGGAGTAACAGCTCCCAAGGAATGTTGTTATTGACTTCAATGGGGGTCCAAATCTCCAGTACAATCAAGCGCAGCTCAGTTTTTAACAGGTGGAAACAAAATATGGAACCCCTGAACCTCATTCAAGAGTGGGGGTGGGAGACAGAGGGAACACAAGTTTTAACAGTGTACATACAGATCTTGCAGTTAATCAAAGACCACAACACTGCCCAGCCTGCTACATGCCATGTAGCAATGTAAGACCTGCCCTACTGGAGTAGGTCATTAGACCATCTAGTCCAGCATACCATCTCCAATCATTTATTATATTTAAATTTATAATAAAATAATGATTTTAAAAGGAGTGTATCCAACCTTCTAGAGGCTCTAACACATCATGAATAATACAATAAAATTCTAGCAGCCTTCATAATTTCAACAGGAATCCAGACAGCCCCTTAGTGAAATGCCTTCCCACCCCTTCAACATTATGGGAAGCTCTTCCAAAAACCTGATCAAACAGATTAACTATACTATACCATACAATGGAGGCCTCACCAACACTACAGATGTTACCACACGGCCATCAAACTAGAACAATTCTAGAACAATGGCTCTTGACGGAATGCAATTAGCCAACGTTAAAAGGAAGATCTGAATTTCATATCAAAGACTGTCTAATTAGAATGTCTAATTAAAAAGAAAAATGATTAAAATGTCTTTAAAATTTGTTTAATATCATTTAAAAAAACTCTACCCTCACAGGAGGGTAATGGGAGCTAGGACTTGGGGAAACCAGCTGGATATTTGAATGCATGGGGCATCAGAGGCTAAGGCCTAGATTTTGCAATGCTTACTCATTGGCTTACCCTGACCACTGGCCTTGAAATCAATGGAACTATTCACGTTAGTAAAGTTCAACATATGACTCAGTGTTTGCAAGACAGGGGCCTAAAGCTGTTGAGAAGAAGGTTCTACCATCATTTTTTGGGTTAATTTTTGACACTACCAACACTGCACATGCTAGTAACGTTCAGCATAGGAGCCGGTGTTTGCAAGACTCAGGCCTAAAGCTGTTGTGAGGGAGGGTTTTTTGGGTTAATTTAAGCTTTTTTTTTCTTTTCTTTTTTTTAAATATTATTAGCATAGCACTTTGCAAGTCTTCAATTTCCCCATATAGTCAAGTGGCTTTTTGATTTGTTGAGGCTTATTGTGCTACTACATCAGAGCCTCCTCTGTCTAACACCAATCTCAATCCAATGGCATCTGTTCCTATAAAAGTTCCCATTCAGAACCATGGAAATTCTGAAGTAGCAGCAGACATCTCTAAAAATAAAACAATGCAAAACACCTATTTTAATTCCTATTCTTCTTCTTTAATAAATATGTATTTAGCTCCCTAGTGTATTATAATTAATCACCACAGCAGACACTGAATAGTTGAAAACATCCAACAGGGGGAAAAAAATCAAGCTTAAACGCACTGAGGTTTCCCTTGAATGCTAAAATTGTGCAAACTGGTTTTATTCTTTATTTTAAGGACCAGCTATTCTGCTAGGTGCTGAATCCACTCAACTCCCTGTTGTGCTTAGGGGGAGTGAAGGTGCTTAGATTCTCATAGCAAAAGGTTCAGGAAGGAGTAAGTGGGAAATAAAGAATGAAATCCTTACCTTCAGCAATTTCTGGACAGTATCAAAGCTCTGTAGGGCTAGCTGCAGAAATCAACAGATGAAAATGAAAGTTTTATGGAAGTCCAACACATCTGTACTAGAATAGTAGCCATGCAATTTAGATAACATTTTCATTTTTTCTGCAGTCTGTTATAAACTGGTGATTGCGTTATTAGAACTCTAAATATTTTATTAATTAAAAACATACCTAACCCAGTATCCTTTCAATTAATAGTCAACACAAAGGAAGAAACCTCTATTAGCTTTGGACCTATACAAAAACAATGTTTTGTGCTCCCTCTGCTGTTTCAAATTAAAAACATTGTTCTCAAAGCTGTGCACATTTCTGTTCACATCTTCAGGGATGCTGATGTACAAGAAAGAAACTATCCAAGGCATGCTGGGTTTTGCGCCACTAAAACCAGTGAGGGATAACATGGAATGCCTTCTTGGAGAAAAATGCTAGAGAAAAGGAGCGTAAACCCGCACTGCCACCGATTCACTGAGAGTCAAGGACAGGCCATATGTCCTTTCTGCAACTCCCTTTTCCCACCTGCAAAGTGGGGATAATATCTACTTAGCTCATGTGTATAGGAGTGAAGCTTTCTTACGTGGGTAAAATTATTTGAATTCCTCCGACAAAAAATAGGCAGGTGCTAAATATTATTTATGTGCCAAACTTTCAAGAGGCCATTACTAACCATGGAATGTAAAAATAAGACCAATTACAATCACAGACCAAAAATTTACTCCACAGCAACACTTTAATCCATTTTATGAACAGCTCTCGCGTGCTTAGTATTCTTGGAGCATCCTGGAGAAGCAAAAAGTTTGCAGCTGTAAAAGCTTCAGGGCCTTTTTCTGTCTCAGAATTGAGCTGAGATACTGCAGTGCAGGCTGCATAAAACACTGTGCCCAAAACAACATACCTGTGATCAATTCTCTGCATGGAAGTTATTAGCGTTTGATATGGAAAATATTGATACAAAGGCAATTTCAGAGCAGAGTAAAGCAAATAAAACAAAGCAAATAGAGTTCAAAGGACAAACCACTGGTTTGCCAGACATTCACTGATGAGTTTGAAAATGGGGGCTTTACAAATCAACAGGAGTGTCTGCATAAACTCTTGTGTTTGCAGCACTGATTTCACTCTCAAACTCTCCCTCCCCAAGCTAGAAAGGTTTCTCTCTTCCTGTGTTTTAAGCTAAAGCACTTCTCCAGTGTTACCAACTAATTCTTAAACACAAAGGGAAACGTGAATGTTTCTCCTTAGCTTACTTCAGTATGGCACCGAAGGCAAGAGAAATAATTTCATACTGATGGCAAATGCTCTTTCTGGAAGGGGAAGATTTGAATTAAAAATTGGGAAAGTTAGAAGAGATGAGCTAACAAACTATCCCACTAGGCATCTCAAATCTATCACTCTTAAATGCTTCCTTTTTCTTACACTGAAGGTGATGGGGAGACTTTGATAGGAGATTCATAGGGTACAGAGCTGAAATCAAGGTTGGAGAGCTACTCATGACAGTTCACCACACACTGGTGATCAAGCCAGCTGATAACATGGACTACTCATGGAAGAAACATTTCCATATGGTACCTTGGGATGTGGAGACAGTGAGCACTGGCAACTGTGAGCACAACTCCACTGACTGCAATGCACATGCCTACACCAAGAGTGAATCTGGCCCATAATTCCTCCTGGCAACGACACGAGCCACAAATCTTTACCTGAAAACCTATCCCTCAGCACTGGAGTAAAATCAAGGACATCCTTAAAGGTCACAGAGCAAGAGCTAGTGCAAAAGCACTGACTAGAGGAGTGGAAAGATTTGCTGGGCCCCTGGGCAAGGTGGAGAAGGAGGGAGAGGGGCAGCAGCTCTGTATTCCAGGAAGGGGCAGGGTTGGGCAGTAGCAGCGGTGGTGGACGGGGGCCCTGGGTCCTAGGGCAGTTGCCCCCTTTATCTCCCCCTCGGTAGGCCTGTTGTAGTGCAACTTACTATGTAAATGAGAGCGTACAGCAGAAGGCACTAAACTCCCCTGCAATGGATATTTTTCATGCAAACTTCTCACTAGCCAAGACATCTCACAGGAATTCTTGAGCTTGCCAAGAGCCCAAAGCTGCTCCTGCTGGAATCTACAGCCAAATACTCAAAGCCTGAGAAAATAACAGAAGCCACAACTCTAAAATCATAGACTCATAGGACTGGAAGGAACCTATCTAGACCAGTTCCCTGCACTCATGGAAGGGCCAAGCTTCATCAAGACTCAACTTTGGAAGCTCCGGGGGCCACAATGATACAGCACATGCTGAGGGTTGCAACTTAAGTATGGTTGCATATATATGCAAATAACTTCTCTCACACTGATAGGCATGAATACAAAGATTAAGGCAAGACTACACAACACAGAGACCCCATTTAAGTCAGTTCTGCTGATATTAATAAAATGCAACATTTACCTGATTTCTGCCCATATGACAGCACTTTTAATGAGCAATGACAGTCCAGGAATTTAACTACTAAAGCGCATATCTACAGAAGACCAGTATATCGACTACTTTTTTGTTTTGGTTCACGCTAGTGGGATGCATATTTAGCCCTGCCTAAATCCAAACCGCACCGCAGGCCGTGTGTTGAGCAGTCCTGATCTAGACCATTGCTGACAGGTGTTTGTCTAACCTGCTCTTAATGATGGCATTAATCTTAGAAAAAAAGGCAACTGAACTTACCTCTCTTGTTGGAACTAAGATAAGCGCGTAAGGCCCATCGCTGCGCTGCAAACAGAAGAGACAGTATCGCTGAACAGAATGCACCATGAACTCAGAAAATCACAGAAGACAGAGGTGGCATGATAAAGCAGCTGTTCCCTGACTCCTCCTGCTTGAGCAACATGAAGCCAGACTCTATTGCTGCAGAAAAGCAAGGGTAGCTGTGCAGGAGTGGTGAAGGAAATACACCACGTAACCACTTTTCTTCTGCACAGGTATTTCCCTCCCTCTACTCCCCACCTTGCGATTTTGGCCTATTCACCCTCCATCTCTGTTGCATGAAGTATAGGGAACAAACAAACATTATTATTTTTCTTATATTGCCTTTATATTTGCACCATGCAAGGGGCATGTAGGCCAAATTCCAAAATGGCATAACTAAACAGGGCAAGAGATTGCTTAACCGTCAGAACAAGAAAAGACACTACTGACCTAAGTGCACCAGTTGTAATTTATTTGCATTGCTTTGAAATATTAAAAGAGAGCACACTTATTCCTATGGAGCATACCTTTATTTTTGACTTCGTTCCCTGCAGAGACTGAACGAGGGGGATGCCATAAGCAAGAGTTTTACCTTGGTAAGAAAAACAAGAAGATGTTTATGTCCTTTTAAAAACGGTAGTAATTGAAGATTTCAGTCATGATGGGAAAGCCAATGAAATTAATAGGAGGAAGGTTTAAAGCAAGCAAAAGGAGGTACTTTTTCCCCAAAACGCACAGTCAACCTGTGCACATTGCCATGGGACGCTGCAAAGGCTAAAAAAATATAACTGCATTCAAAAAAGAATTAGATACGTTTGTGCAGGATCTGTCCATCCATGGCTATTAGCTAAAAGGGCCAGGAATGCAACCCCGTGTTCTAAAATTCCAACTGCCAGAAGCTGGGATGGGACTTCCAGAGATGGATCACTTAGAATTGCCCTGTTCTATTCATTTCTTCTGAAGCATCTGGTACTGGCCGCTATTAGAAGACAGAATACTGGGTTAGATGGACCAGTGGTCTGATCCAGCATGATTGTTCTTATGGTCTTCAACGCATCGTGCAAAGACAGATCTCCCTCTACTCCTAAACTGACACAGAAACTTCAATGGGAAGCTTGATGAGTTGTGGGGTCAGACTGGGAGGGGGGAAAAAAAAGTTGACGATACTCTTCCCCGTTTGTGCAGGATATGTCCATCCATGGCTATTAGCTAAAAGGGCCAGGAATGCAACCCCGTGTTCTAAAATTCCAACTGCCAGAAGCTGGGATGGGACTTCCAGAGATGGATCACTCAGAATTGCCCTGTTCTATTCATTTCTTCTGAAGCATCTGGTACTGGCTGCTATTAGAAGACAGAATACTGGGTTAGATGGACCAGTGGTCTGATCCAGCATGATTGTTCTTATGGTCTTCAACGCATCGTGCAAAGACAGATCTCCCTCTACTCCTAAACTGACGTCAGAAACTTCAAATGGGAAGCTTGATGAGTTGTGGGGTCAGACGGGGAGGGGGAAAAAAAAGTTGACGATACTCTTCCCATTTCTGCCCGTATGAATCAACGCTGCTCACAAAAGATTGAGCAGATATTGAAAATATAACTGTGTTAGCAGCCTGGGTCCACTGGGCCCTTGAGCTTGGCTTCCTCTATGGCCTTTGCTGGGCTTCTTGGGTTTGGGTCTAGCTGGTGGATGCATGTCATGATTGAGACATACTAGTGGAATTGCATGGAAGAAATCTGCACACCCTATATCTGCAGTTTGCCTATCTCTCACCACTGTCACTGGTCTGTCATTCTCACAGACTATAACAGGTGAATGTAATGCTTAGTTTGCATGTATGGAAGCCAACTAATCTAGTGCCTGAGTAAGAGTGGCAATTAAATACTGACCTGAACCTGTCTGGGACCTCACCAGTGCATCCTTGCCTTTCAGCAGCACAGGAATAGTTTCCTTCTGAACACTAGATAACAAATAATCCCAATTAAGAACACGCAAGCACCAACTCACTCTCAAATATTCAAAGATGTGAAGTTTTAAAACTGCTTTTAAAACCGTGCACCTGGGTTTACCCAAACCTGCGTACTCTCCCAGTTCCTGCTGGAATTACTACACCAGAAATGCGGATTTGTGAAAACAGAACAACAGAAAAATGGTATTTATGCTAAATAGGAATACAAGTGATTTTGTGGCTAAAGACCAAGAGCCAAGCCTCCTGGGTTCCATTTCCAGCATTGCTAATGACTACATCAGGAGTGGGCAAACACCAGCCTGTGGGCCAGATCTGGTCGGTCAGGGTTAGTTCCTGGTGGACCCCCTGTCACTATATTTACCTGCATCTCCATACGTACGGGCAATTGCAGCTCCCATTGGCCATAGATAACCTTTAGAGCCAATAGGAGCTGTGGGAAGCGGCGTGGACTGGGACATTGCTTCCCACCATTCCCATTAGCCGGGAACAGTAATCCAAGGCCAACGAGAGCTGAGATCGCCAATACCTGTGGAGGCGCAGATAAATATAGCAGCCCCTGGTAGACCACCTTTTTATTGACCATTCTGCTCTACATCAAGTTACTTTACAACTTGATTTTTGGAGGAGCAGAGGACTCACAGCTCCCATGTACTGTAATAGAAATTGCGGGGGCATATGAATTAATTATGTTTGTCAAGTGCTTGGAGATCATCCAGTGGAAGGTGCTACAGAAGTGGGAAGTGTTTTACACAGGTTAGCTTACCTGGTCATACTAGACATCTTCAAGACAGTGGTTATTGTGGAAACCTGAAGGGATAAATATAGTGTTGAAAGGTTCTAATTCTATATTATTCACTTTCCTGACTTTGCAATGCAGGAGAAGGAAAAATCCCAAACCCTGATGTTATTAAGCCCAGCGGGTCATGACATGCTATAAAATGGTGGCTTCTGAGTAACATATTTTGGTCTGCAACCCAGATTAAACAATAGGAGGCTTTTGGATGTGGTGGGGTCTGATGTCAGTTGGGGATGGTACTATCTGAGAAGGATGGGTGCTGGACTGGTGGGCTACCTGGTGTTAAAATGGGCAGCGGCATGTAGTGCTGATGTGGGTTGCTGGTGTTGGATGGAACACAGCTAATGGGAGTGATGGGGATGTTGATGCAAAAGTTGCCTTCACACAGAACCATCGCTAGTGAGCTAATTTGAGGCACCAGGCGCTCTTTCTACACCAGGGGCAGGCAAGATCCAGTCTGCCAAGCCACCAGATCCAGCTGCCGGGCTATCCTGCCAGCACCCTCAGGCACACAGCAGCCCCATGCTGCTTTAAGCAGCTGACTGCTCCCTGTGGTTTTCTGTTCCAGGTCCTGGGAAGAGGCAGAGGCTTTGCACACTGCTTCCGCTTCCAGCACAATCTCTCTGCTCCTATTGGCTGGAAACTGGCCAACGGGAGTTCAGAGATTTTGCTGGGGACAGGGGCAGCACACAAAGCCTCCTTCCCGCCCCAGCACCAGATAAAAGAGCCACAGGGAGCAGCCAGCCATTTTGAGCAGCCTAGGTAAGCCTCTCCCAGCCTGATCCTTCCTCTGGTACCCCCATCCTCTCCCTCCTACCAACTCGCTGCCCCAGGCCATGACCCCCTCCTGCCCCAGGTCACAACTCCCTCCCAGACCCAGAACCCCATCCCCAGGCCAGAATTCTCTCCTGCACCTATACCCCTTCCCTGACCCTACACCCTATTTCCCCTGCCACCAATCACAATCCCTCCTTCACCCAAACTCCCTCTCAGACAGCACACACTTTCCTGCACCCCAGTCCTCTACCCCGAGCTTCTACACCCTATTTCCCCTGCCACCAATCACAATCCCTCCTTCACCCAAACTCCCTCTCAGACAGCACACCCTTTCCTACACCCCAGTCCTCTACCCCGAGCTTCTTTCTGCACCCAGTCTCTGTCCCAGACCCTTAGGCCACATACCAAAATCTTGTAGTGCCCCTCATAAGGAATTGCTGCCCATCCCTGTTCTACAAGAAGCATATATCACTTCACAGGGGGACAGCCTCCAAAAGTTTAAAAACCGCAAACCTTTTCAAGCACAGACCCGTTAAAAACAACTCTATACCACAGCCTGACAGCACTACCCAATGATCGTGTGGCCAATCTAGCACTCACCAGATGGGGATGGAGGTCCAGCTGGCTGAAAGATTCCGAAGTGAAAACTTTTTCCTGCACCTGTTTCACGCCCCCTCTGCAAGCAAAAATCCAAAGCAATGTGAAACAGTTCCAATCACCCACAGGCTATGGGCCAGATAGAGAGAAGAGTGAAGTCTGGGTTCCAATGCAATGATCCCAGTGGCAAAAAGTTTGCATGGAAGAGAACGTTGCTTGGGCACAAGACGTCTGCCTGGGGGAAGGATAGAGTCAGGCTAGCCATGGAATGTGCTGATTCAGTACATCCCCCTAGCCCAGTGTTTCTTAAACTGTGTTCCACTGCACACTGGTGTGCTGCGGAGAACAACAGAATTCAAAATGGCCACCCTTAAAGGGGCAGGCAACTTTTTTTTTTTTGCTCAATAACTTCTCCCGACCCTTTTTTCCCCTCAATAAATTTCCCTCCAACCCTTTTCCCACCCCTGACCATTTTTTTTCTTCCAACCAAAAATCCTTAGTGTTCCTCATAAAAAAAAATTGTTTGGTCTTAAAAAGTTTAAGAAACACTGCACTAGCCATTAATGGAGTCGCCCATTATTGGTGGAATCCTAATGTAATTTGCACCTTCTGGAGACAGCAAGAGTGACTTTGACCCCTTCCTTAATGAAGGAAAACTATTGAGCCAGTATATTGCTAACAGCAGTAGGAAATCTATTATAATATTCCAGCTCCTACGTGTCTATTCCACCAAAAGAGATGGGATTATAAAGGACATCCAAGAAATAATTTATTCTATTTCTAGGTTAAATGCACAGGACAAAGCTTTTAAATGAGGATGGTCTCCATGCTACAGTGTTATAAATCTACGGACAGGTACCGACTATTTGAGTGCTTTGAGATCACTCTCAGCCATGAGTCTTTTGAAAATATCAACCAATCCTAGATCCAATTCTTGCATCTGCCTCCTTAATTCAATGCAAAACTCTTACTTCAGGGAAAGCACAATCAGGATCTTTGTTTTATTACATCATAGGTTCTTAGCATGGTGGTGGGGATCATAGCTACCCTACCATTCCTATTGCAGTCTACATAGGCTCTTAAGCCTTCCCAGATAGGAGAAGGAGCCTAAACAGAACTAAGGTACATGGGAGGGGGAACCTGGGCAAGAAATGGCTGAAAACCATCATACTAGATGGATGATGGAACTGTATGTACATGGGGGGAGGGAGGACAGGGGTAGAGGACAAACCCTCATGCTTTGTACATATAAAGGGGAGAAATCAACAGCCTTTTAGTGGGGGGGAGGGTTGTTTGTTTTAAAATACCTGTGAATTTCTGGAATCTCAGGATTGTTTTTAAAAAGACATGATGTCTTAATGAAAGGTCTGCTGCTTAGGCTCTCGTTCTGTCGGTCAGTCGAGGGTTTCTTCGGAGATTTTGACGACAAATTTCCCTTCATGCAGATGTTGGCCTCCTTGGTGCATTTCTTGTTTGGGGACGCTGACAACTTGCGTTTCCGCTTGAAAGGTGTGCCTTCATCTGCCTGCTGAAGCTTCCTTTTCGGAACCTTTGTTTGCTTCGGTGACAGCAAAAAACCAGGATGGATTAGTGTGTAAAGATTAACTATGCAAGATTATACCCTACTTACCTGGTGTGCAAGACCCTAGAGAGTAACATCTCTTCCTACTGGACCCTTTATGCCCAGATATAAGTAAGTGAGTTTGATTTTGCAACTGGACCTGTTCACATTCTTCAAAGCAGAGATTAATACAATTACAATTATTTTAATTAGGGCTGTCAAGCAATTAAAAAAATGAATCGCAATGAATTGTGCTGTTAAACAATAAGAATACAGCCCCCCCACTCCAATCCAATGCCCTCACCCTCCTACACAGCCCGGTGCCTCCAGAGCCCCTACTTTAACTCAATGCCCCATCCCACCTGCAGAACTGGGGACATAACTTAGCAGGGCGGAGGGTAAAATGGTGACTCAATAGGAGGAGCCAAATTCCCCCCCCCCCCCACACACACACATACATCGGACCTGCCCTGGGTCTCATCGGAGCCGCCACCCAAGTCACACACTTTTCCCTCCAGGTGCTGGGATGTGTGCACAGAGCGGTTGTGAATGATCCGGGTGCATGGATCTGAATGGTCCATTTGACACCTCCTCCCCGCACCCTTTGCATGGCAAAATCCTGGACATTTTTTGCCATTTAAAAAAGTTGGCTGGATAGAGATTTAACAAATGAAAATGAGGACATGCCCAGGAAAAACTGGATGTATGGTAACCCTAGATTAACGCGCGTTTACTTTTTTAACGCGTGAATTCTGCCCTGCGTTACTCGCAGGTGTTACCGTGCATTAATTGACAGCCCTAACTGAAATTCTTATTTTGGTGCCCATCACTACAGTATCAGATATCATTTTCATAGTAACTGAACAGTATTCTCTTTAAAATATGCACAAGGAAAAAGCATTGCAACGCAAATCTCATGATCAGATTAGAGCCATATCTCCACCCTTTTCCTTCTTTCAGGGATGAAGCTTCCTCCATTTTGACCTGTGGTTTCATAAGGCTTCAGGAATTCTGATCTCTCTATTCCTGGTTCTGTATTAATTCTAATTTCTTTTGAAATTCCTTCTGCTTCGCCTGGGAAATGTCTTTGCTCACCCCATATTCTTCTCCCAATACTCAGGCACACAATTAATTTAACTTTCTTCCATCCCTAACTGTCCTTCAATATCTCATTCATGTCCTAGTCAGTCAAGGTGATTTTCGTACTTGAAAACTTTTTAATTCACCTTACTACAGTGGGGTCCTCTATTCTTTTTCTCCGCTCGTCCTTACATTTCCCCCCCTCCTCATTCCTGATTTCATTCTACAATATTCCCTGCGTCCTCCTCTGCACTTGCCTCTCAAGTTCTTTAATAAGTTTTGTCCTTCTTTCTTCAATAATATCAGCCTTTACAAAACATCAACTCCTCATCTGCTCCTCACCTGGTGTAAATCAATGTAGCTCTGATGACTTCAATGGAACTGTGTCAATTTATATCTATTGAGGGTCCGTCCCCTATTTCCTATAGGCTGACAGAAGTCTTGAGCAGACTGTACGTTTTTTTCTCTACCCGCAGCATCTTATTAAATATTGTCCAACATCTTACATATTAGAAGTTACATCTTCCATATTAAAGTTCCAGAGAAGAGCAACACAATGATTAAAGGTCTAGTAAATATGACCTATGAGGCGAGACTGAAAGAACTGGGTTTGTTTGGTTTGAAAAAGAGAAGACTGAAAGGGGACATGATAGCAGCTGTCAGGTCCCTAAAAAAAGGTGTCACAAGGAGAAGGGAGAAAAAATTTTCTTCTTAACTTCTGATGATAGGACAAGAAACAATGGACTTAAACTGAAACAAAGGAGGTTTAGGTTGAACATTAGGAAAAATTTCCTGTCAGGGTGGCTAAACTCTGGAATAAATTACCTAGGGAGGTTGTGGAATCTCCACCATTAGAGATTTTTAAGAGCAGATAAGACTGACATCTATCAGGGATGATCTAATGGTGCTTGGTCCTGCTGTGACGGCAGGGGACTGGACTTGATGTCCTCTCAAGGTCCCTTTGGCTACGTCTACACTATGGAGCTAGTTTGGGACACCTCCAGTATCCTGAAATAGCTGTTCCGCGTCTTAAGAGCAAGACTGTTATACTGAAATATAATGGGCTCGCTATTCTGATGTCCCTGTAAACTCATTGCATGAAGGTTAAGGGACATTTTGGAATAGTGTGTTGTTTTAAAATTTGGTGCAAAATAAGCTAATTCAAAATTATCTTGAAATAAACGACACAATTTGTGTAGTGCAAATTGCGTCGCTTATTTTGAAGTAAGGGTGCTGAGTAGATGCACCCTTCCAGTCAGGGACATTTTAGAATAGTGTGTTGTTTTAAAATGTGTTGCAAAATAAGCTAATTCAAAATTATCTTGAAATAAACGACACAATTTGTGTAGTGCAAATTGCATAGCTTATTTTGAAGTAAGGGTGCTGAGTAGATGCACCCTTCCAGTTCTAGTATTCTATGATTCTCTATTCTCCAAATGCGCTTTGTTGAAATTCAAAGGGGGGATTTTTCAGCAGTTACGTGTTTACACGCAGGGGGGCAGGCAGGAGCCGGTGCTTGCAGGGAGCTGGTTTAAAAGCTGGCTCCCCACAAGCACCAGCTCCCACCTGACCCTCCTTCTCTCTCTGCTACCTCTCATAGGGAATGCGGTTCCATGGAGCCAGCATGCACAGTCAGCTTTCCATGTGTACCGCCTGACCTCCCTCCCTACAGGCAGTAATGAGGGGGACAGTCAGCTCTGTGGGAGCTAATGCTCATTGAGAGCTGGCTTCCCACTGAGCACCAGCTCCCGTCTACCTCCCTCCCCAACCTCCACGCTGCTGCCTCTGTGGGAGGCAGGAAAGAGCGGGGGCAAATCTGGCTTCCTGTGTGCACTGGCTCCTGCCTGCCCCCTTCACCTTCCATGCTGCTGCCTCTCTCCCCACAGACACTGGCTCCCATCCCCTACCCCTTTGCTACTTCTGAGAAACAAGCTGCCTGCATCTCTCTTTACTACCTTGAGAAATAGGCTCTGCTGAATTATGGAATTTTCTGGACCATGGGTGTTCACCATAATGAAGAGTGGTGGGGGTGTGGGATCTGGAAAGGAAGGAGGCAAGGAGCATGCAGAAACACACTTGGGTGAAGGTGAAGGGTCTGGGAGGGAAGATGGATGCATGAGGGGAATGGGGTGTGGGGACTGGGCATGAGGGGAATGGAAGAGGGACTCTTACATAGTGCTCCACTACCAGGGGCACATGTGACTAAGCACCACCTGCCCCTCCCAGCCTCTGTGGCTATGGGAGCAGCAGGGGAAAAAGCCTGCACTGCCATTCCCCCAGCTTAGGGGAAGGGAGAACAACAGGGCACAGAGCAGTTTCTTCTGCCCCCCTGATAGGGTCTAAACTATGGGTGTTCCCAGATCAGGGACACTAGGATTACAGAGGTTCAAGTGTAATATAAAATTCATCTTTGGACTGAGACAAAATATAGAAAGACTCAATCCCAAAAGCAGAATTTCTGAGAAAGTTACCAGCAACTGAAAATAAGAGATTTATCATGGAAGTCCATCTGTAAGCAGCTACAGTGCAACCTCAATTATCCAAAAGTACCACGAAGACCAAAATCTTTGCATAATCAGTGGAAGCTGAACCAGCAAGATCCTCTAAGACAGGGGTGGGGAACCTTTTCTGGGTTGGGAGCCACTGACCCAAAGAAAAATCAGCATCCAGCCTCCAGGCCTAAGGTTCCACACCCCTGCTCTAAGATCAGGCTCCAAAGTCTACTTCTGATACCCTTTTTCCCCCAGATGGTAGACCCCTTCCTCAAAGCTAGTCAACTCAGCAGAACTAAACAATGAAATACTGCTGAGACCCAGAACTGAAGTCCTACTGTATCTTGCTGAGTCAGAAGGCTTCAGAGAAATTCACATATGATCCCTAATTCAAGCCTCACTTATCCGAACCACTCCTTCCTCTGAACCAGGATCCCATCACTCTTACTAAGGATGGAGGGATTTGGGGTACAGAAGATCCAGTAACAAAGAAGTTAATTATAATTAACATTTCAAATCTTTAAAAAAGGAGTGGGGACTTGTCCCAAAGCACAAGAAGCTTGTATTTATAATATCACATTTGAATTCTTTTCTGAAATAGTTGATTTAAACTGAAAAAAAGTTGAACAAGACTTAGAGGAAGAACTAGACATACCCACTTGTCCTTGTTGGGCAGTGTCTTGGGGAACTTCTTGTGTCCTGCAGAATGGTGAAAATATGGGGAAGGCAGAGAGCTCACGTTGAGAATCAATCCCTCGTCTGCCTCCATGGCTTAATACACAGCTTTTGATGATACTTTAATCTGCAATAAAAAAACAGCACTGAAAGACACTACTCCACAGAGTCAGCCATGCGACTGCAGCTACACCAAGGCAGAGCTTAACTTAGCTACAGCACCACACTCCACATGTGCTACCCCACTACCTACCCAGCTGCAGCGAAGGACCCCAAACATAGCTGTCTTGCAAAGTCCCCTAAACAGCAAAGCACTTTTTTTCTCTGACTTACGTCCTTACTGAGAGAAGAGGGATGTAATGTTAAGGGCAATGTTTAAAGTCTCTTTCTCTCTTTTGTGAGAAAGGATATTTTGCTGTACCAATGAGACATTTTAAATTCTCAAGCTAGGGAAGGGAGAATTGAAAAGGCTTTTTTTTTTTGCAAAGTAAATGATTAATGAGATTCTTAAATATCGACTTTTAAATTTGTAGAGTAAAATCCGTCTTTACATAGAAAACAGCTTTAAAACAGGTCCCTAATGACAATACAATCCTAAATCCAAATATTTGCTTTTTCCCTCCATTAAACCCTCCAAAAAATCTCTCCCGATCCCATGTATTTCAAAGGAATTAAAATGCATTTCACTGTAAATATCCCTGTGTACAGCTTTCCAATAGCCCCAGGACAAAGGATTGGTGACAGGTTTACAGCATAAATCCATTAGGCCACCAAGAATCTTCGGTGGGGACAGGTAGCAGGCCACATACCCTACTAAGACCTATTGATTGCAGGAAAGGCTGTGAGTTTGTCAGGGAGTGAGGATTCAGCTGTCCCAAATCCTGAGTAGTTTCCACAGGCAAACCCTTTTCATTTGGATTTCACTTGGGTTCAGCAAGAACACCGCATTTTATTTTTATTATTATTTATTGGTATTGCACCCAGCTACTCCACTCATAGACCTGTGCCCTAGAGTTCTGGGAGCTATGGCACTGTACAAACACACAACTAACAGGACTCTGCATTGCAGGGCTTAATGTCCCAGCTTTAATGCCATAACAGTAATTACTGTTGAGGTATTATGTACAATATAGTAACATTATTTAAGTACACAGCTGCACAGTATTAATTAAACCCCTCCTATTGTGTCATAACACTTGTTGAAGCAAAATGCAGGACAATGTAGCACTTTAAAGACTAACACGGCTACATCTCTATCACTATAACACTTGTTGACATTATTGTAAATTCTTCCATGCATCATGTTGGATTATTATTTCAGAGGGATATTAGTTCAACACGCACGATTAATACGTATGGTGGTTGTTTATTATAATGATAGCCCCCATGCAATATCGCTATTGATCACTGTTATGGATAATATCACTCTCCTTCAGGCACTACGACCGTGCCTCAAGGTTCTATCCACTCTGCTCTCTCATCCATCCCCCTGCTCTGGGCGCAGAACGGAAAGGGGGTTTCACTCAGGCAGTCGGTTGGCCACCCCATACCAACACTAAACAGGGGTCCTTTATGGTCGCGGTCTCGCTGGGCGCGGCGCATGCGCAGTGCGCCCCGAGCGGCCTCTGAGGCGGCGGCGGTGGTAAGATGGCGGCGGCGGAGGCAGCTGGAAGCGGGGGG